TCATCACGCTTGGTCAGTTGCGTGGCGGACCTCTAGCGTGGAAATCCCTGCACAAATTCCTCTTACGACCATACAATGCTCATTTAGCATTGCATATATCAAATTTCACAAGCAGAACATATTTACATGACATAGCACAGTACATTTGGATGATGGAAGAACACAAAGATTGGGGTGTCGTTCTGCAGCTGGTATCTGAAACATGTGGCAATGCAGAAATCGTAGGAAAATGGAGAGATTATTGTAACATTCCGGGATTGCTCATGGGTGGTGTTGCAAACTGTGAGCATAGGTCGCATACATCAGTTTTATTTGCATTCAGATGGATGTTACAACAAAAGATTAATAAACTTCAGCTGCTCGACAAATATGATTGGTTTATTTTGACTCGAGCTGATGAACTACATTTATGTGAACATTTTGATTTCACCACTATGAAGGAGAGTGACATTTTATTGCCTACTGGTGAACACTATAATGGCTGGTCGGATCGTCATTTAATTACTCGTTCGTCCATGTTTATGAAGATGATCAACATCACGAAGGAGTTAGTTTGCAGACCTGATTACTGGCTGAACAAACTGGAAGAAGTTGATTATGAACTAAATATTGAAGTGGTGCAGAAGCTTATCTGGGACGATATGCGCCTAACTGTTTCGGAACATCCGAGATCCATATTTATTGTTAGAAGTACTGGTGATCCCGCATCATGGTCTCGAGGTAGATCTCATCCAGAACTCAGTCGCTTTAATCTGAAAGTGAAGTATCCAAGAGAATTAAAGTCGTCGAAAATATACTGCAAAACTAGAAATATTACACCTGTGATACAATCTATTCGTGAATACAATTAACCCACGAAAATGATATTATTTTTCAGGTATATCAAGAAATTAGTAACGCTCGTCGAGGCAGATTCGCTGTACCTTCGACTGAACCACTAACTGAAAATAAGGTTGGGCCAATGCAAAATTCGAGCAAAATTTTTTTTCCTGATTTCTTTTATGTGATCCAATGCAGTTCGATGCGCTGAATCCCAGTATGTATGATTCACTTGGGTAAAAACTGGTTTTCAAGCCAAAAATCGAGAAACACGCTTAAAACCGATAGTTCTAGAAAACCGGATTTTCTACTAGAATTTCGATGATAGAGCTGCGAAAAATTCCAATATAGTTTTGAAAGTTTTTTCTCCTGATTCAGAATCAAAAACTGATTCTAGGAGACTTCTTTTTGATCCCTTAGTTCGTATCTTTATCATTAAAAAACTGCGCTTTTGTATATAGACCGACTGATCCAGTGTATCGTCTTAAAAAGGCATCAACTCATTTTCTATGAAAGCTACACACTTTTTTCTTTCACCGTTCGACTTGTCGGATGCCCTAGATATAATCTGCGTATCCTTTTCTCCATAACTCACTTTCTTTCTCAAGATTTTCTGGTTTTCTTTTCATGCATCCTAACGAAGTTTTTCTAAATTTTCGATAGCTTTTTTCGCTTAATTTCTTTTTCTAATCATTTTATATGTTTCGAATGATAAACATCTCTATGATGATCATTTCCAAAACCTATCGAACTATTTTTTTCGATACTCATGGTCAGTTGCAGTGTTTCTATGTTCCATAGAATCCCAAGGCGAAGAATTCGGCCCGGATCCGGCCGACTCCAGAGTATTCCGACCATTTCAGGAAAGCAGTAGTCCTGACAACCGATCTGGTGGCGGGACGTAGCGATTTTCACATGGAACCGATAAGAACCTGCCGGAAAACGGCAGTCGGATACGGTCACAGGATTTTTCTGCTGAATTCTGAGTATTTTCTGAACGTTTCTAACCAGATAACAATAGATTTCGTATAGGTTTTCGTCGGATATTAGTGGAACACTTCTTGCGTAGTACATCTTAGTATAAGATTCGAGTTTTTTTCAACTACGATTCGTGACAAAGAGGTCTCCGACTAAGAACACATGATTTCTTAGTAGATCTCGATGCGCTGTATCGATTCCGACCATTACTTTCCCTAGGTCTCACCTTCAAGCCTCTCAAAAAACCAAAATAATGCAGAAAATCGACCAAAACCCTCGTAATTCTTTCTAGGATTCGCCTAGGTATCATTTTGTTTGGTTTTCTCGACGTTTCCTGGTAGATCTTGATGAGCTCTATCGATTCCATCTCTCATTTTCCAATTGTGGGCCAAGCATTGTTAAGAAAAATACGAATTACATGACCATACATTGTAGTCAAATACGGCAACGTCAAACATTGACTCATTCAATTCAGCCGATGGAATGGACAAAACAAGAACATGGTCTTTTCTCTACACCAATAATTTTGTGTATTTGTTCAATGTGCCAGTGATGTGGATCAGAATATTTTCTTTTCTTCAAAGCAGAACGTCTGCAGAGAGTGAGGTAAGTCTGTTACTATATTTTACAAAAAACTTACTATTGTCTAGGAGTGCAACGGTAGCGATAACCGACTTTAGTGACAAAACGGTTCAGCAAAAACCGGATGTCATAAAAATGAGGTTAAACGAAAACTGGATGCAGTGGAAAAGAGGTTTAACGATAACTGCGTCTGATGACAAAGCGGTTAAACGAAAACTGCTAGAAATATATTGACGGTTAATCGATAGCCGCTATAAATTTAACGGTAACCGTTTCATAATTGACTATCCCCGCATAGATATAACAATGTTAACACAATGTATGTCTTGGCACTAGGACAGAATGTTGCATAGACCCAATTGCGCCATATGTGTTGTAATGATTTCCGGGAAAGTGTGTGCAAAACACAATCGCAAATAAATTTCCCAGTTTCCGTGGTTCGGAAATTGACGGGTACTTTGATTATAGATGTCCGGACAGTGCAATTTTGAAGCCAGGATATTTCGGTTAGGATCACTCGAGATACGAGCATCCGACTCTGAGATCTGAGAAAAAAGATAAGAAACTCTGGGAAGATTTTTCGAGTTTAAGTTTTCACGGTTTTATCCAAAAATGTGCAAAGATGGAATGTTTATTTATTATTGTCGATACCTTATTCGGCAGACTATTGGCTTCAAAATGTGAAATCGTAGTTCGATATCTGTGTGTGCTAATTTTAAACGCCGATCTTTATTGGAGTTTTCTGTGTAAAGGAGTTTTTTGCTCGTCAAAGTCTGAGATGAAGTATTTATGTCCCACGATGCTCACAGTCACACCATAATGTTTTTCTGGGAAGAAAGATACCAACATGAAATGCTTTGTTTTTGTTTCTATATAAACCTTTATACGTATGACAAAAGAATGTATTGGGTTGGCTAGAGAGTTTTTGCGGTTTTTGAAAATTTTCTTTTTATTTCTTAACCTCAAAAAATATAACTTGCTTTCAACAATGTGACCTCCATCACTATCTATGACTTGTTGCTAACGCATTGGTAAAGAAAGGGTCCCACGTTCGTAGAAGTCTTGAGACTTTTGAGCGAAGAAGTTTGCCAGCTTTGTTCTGAGGTCGTTCTCGTCGTCGAATTTTTTCCCACCCAAATAGAATTGAAACCACATAAATGTTGTACTCTGTTCATTTAAACTTTGAATAGATTTTTCTGTTGAATCCTTCGTTTTGAAAATATTTACCGGAGCGGGATTATTAAAATGAGAATCAATATTAAAATATCATTTTGGTAAGAGAAAACTGCTGTCATCGAAAACAGGTCACAATCTTTGGCCCATTTTTCATGCGTTGATTTATTTCTTTGTCATTATTTAGTGTCCAAGGTGAGTATACATACGTAAGAGAAGTTAAAATATATTTTATTCGAACAGTAATGCACCAAACTTGATGACCCGTATGAAAAGACTAATAACTGTGAGTTTCTCATTAGTTAACGAATATTTTTTTATCCACAAAATGTTAACAAATAACTTCGATATCCGACAATGAAATGTGTGATTCTTGTTGGTTTGATTTCGAAGCCAATGACAATAAACATGAAATTCTCGTTCAATCAACGGTATTTCGTGAATTGTCAGTTCACCAATGGTACGATAAAAACTCCATATAAATAAATTACCATTGACATTTTCACCAATAACAATGATGAATATTTTACACGATTGTTTTCGTTCATCTCTCAAAACTTTTCCTATCCATCGTTGTCTTCAAACAAGAATGAATTTGTGTTCTAAAAGGAAATTATGTTTATACAAACGATCAACATCCACTGAACGAATTTATAAATTCGCTGCGGAACTCGGAAGAATTCCATTTGGATTCTATGTCCACAATTATTTGTCTTCAATCCGGATTTCATCTTTCGAACAAAGAATCTTAGATTTTCAAAATAACATTTGATGATAAAAGTCACATCTCATTTTCAATCGATTGTATCTTTTATTCTTTGTTTAAAAAACTCGATAATTAATAAAAATAGAAGACTCATCAGTTCGTTTGTCAGTCTAAAGAATAAAACCATTTTACTATTCTCGAAGTTTATTTAGTTTAGAACATTATCTGTTCAATTGTAAATAAATTTTCTCCTTTTGAAATTTAATCGTCGAGAATTTCCAACGATTCTTCAATTTTTCCATGAAATCACTGTGATACTTTCTATCGGAAATGGTAAAATATTGTAGAGATGATGGAGATTTCATAACAACAAATTGCACGAGTATTTCCAAATTAATATTCGACCAATCGTCCAACTCAAGATACGTAATTAATGGACAAAGTTTAAAGATAAACTCAATTTGAGCTAAATTGAACACTTTGTAGATTTTCACTGTTGTAACTATCGGTGTGAAGCTAGCACCATTTAGCTAGCACCATTAAACTAAGGATTTTCTGAAAACGAATTCCGGTCGATGAAACCGAGTGTATTCGATGCAGAATTTAATTCTGAGTCCAATGGTGCCACTTTTATTCACCGGAAAACGTTCGGAAAAAATTTTCTTTGATCTTTCTTTATCCTCGACACATGTATATGCATCATTTTTCGGCCGTCGGCACGCAATATCTCTGTCCAGAACGAATTCCGGTTCATGGAAAAGAGTCTATTCGACGCAGAATTTGATTCTGCATCGANGAACAAAACGTTCCATCAAAAGAAAAAGGTCGAATTTCTAAGACAATTAACATGGGCAAATGTTTGAAAATATCAGATAATAATTGAATATACTGATCACCGATAAAAAAAGTATCAGTTGAGTTATTGGAAGTTTTGACAATAGTGAAATTATTCCTTGAAAATCAATATCATCTTGGATAATTAAAGAAATTCGAGGAAAATCGAAAGATTGATCTGTTCTGAAAATGCAAAAAGGAATTTCGACAAACTTTTGTGATTGAACGACCAATTTTAATTGACAATCTTCGTATTGATTTTGGGTTAAAGTTATTTGAATAGTCCATTGATGTTGAGATGTGAATGATGAAATCAATTCTTCAAATTTCACCAAATCGAATGTTTCATCTAAATTTTCCAAAAATTCTAAAGAAAATTTTTTTAAAAAAGGAAAATTTTTTGAAAGAATCTTCTCCCATTGATTTCCATTGAAACAATTCTCATAAGAACTATTGGCAATGTGTAATATTTTTAAATTCGAACCAATTTGTCCAAGAAAAGTGTCGAATTTGTTCAATTCCAATGAACTTCGTTTTATGGACAAAGAAATTAAATTTGTTAATGAAAATGATATTTCCTGTGTGTTATTTTCACCAGTTTGAACACCTTTTCTACAAATTAAACGACGAAGTCGTGGTGTATGGCGAAGTAGATTTATCAAGTCGTTCAAATAACATTGATGATCGATAATGATATTTTCAAGTGAACTCCCTTCAATTGTTGAATTCATTGCAATTGGAAATTTTGTTTCAGGAAGCCAAGAAGATATTTTTATTGATTTTAAAACGGGAAGTTTCAATATTGAACAGTAGATTTCGGTAAGATTAAGATATTCATCATATTTGGACCCTAGAAAAGTCAGATTTGTGGTTTTTGTATGCGTTTTCTTTCTAAGGTGAAAAATCAGGAAACTATTTCGAATATGCACATTCAAGGAAAAGTGGATCTCTTTGCAAGAAAATGCTCTTCAAAGGTAAATTCTCGAGATATTCTATCCATGAACAGTGCACTCACTATATAAACAACATCAAACACTTCGGCTGTCTTTTCTTTCGTACCTTGTTGATATGACACGATTTTAACAAGAAAAAGATCTAAGAAGAATAAACGAGGAAGTAAAATAAATGATTGAAGAAGAACCACGAGAATTGTTTTCGAAATATAAGGTAAATGAATTGATTCGACTTGTTCAAATATCAAATTGTTTGTTATTGAAGGTAAAAGTAAATCAATTAGATTTGATCGTCGTAAATGAAGAGAAACAATTCGATGACGATTCGGAATGAGAAATTTTCTACAGAATGCATCAATATCGGACTTTTCCAGATGAGAAACATTGATTTTAAATCGATATGAACAATTGAAAAGTAAATTTTGAAAACGAATATTTAAATTTGCGAAGGCTTTGTATAATGACCAACTGTCGAAATAATCAAAGATTTCATAAAAAAGTTCATTTGATAAATCCTCAAAAGATTTTCTTTTAGCTGGTGATGCCATGTAGATTTTTTGTTAATATGCTTTTAAAACATCTTGTCATACTTTGTCACGTTGAACAACCAATAAAATTTTCACTCGATGAAGCTCACGAGGAATAATTACTTGAGGCTTTTCTTTATTGTCTTTTTTTAGAAAATCTCGTGATCATATTCGCTTTTATCCAAGATATTTTATATCAATTTGTCAACTTCATTATTTACAGCGCCATCTTTATTTGAAGTTCAACTTTGTGAGAAATAACGCAAAATTATGTGGTGTCCTTATCGTACCATAGTGCACTGACGAATACAAGAATATGATACCAACTAAAATCCGATATTCTTTGTAGATTTCAAAAATATGTGAACATGAGAATTTTTTATTCACTGTGCAACATTGATCAAACTTATCTTTTGTGTACTTTTTCAACAAAAAAAAAACTCCTCCTCAGTACATCCTCATTAACGAAACTCAAGTCAAAGTCACGAATTATTCATCGATCTATGATTTTACTCACCTGTACTCTTTCTTATCTTATTCATGACACATTTTCTCAACTGATATTTTTCTTCCGACTAAAACCATTCAGTTGAATCTTCTTCATGATATATCGATACATTCGATCATCTCATTACACTATAAATACACCATCATATCGACATATCATTCACAACCTCAATTTTCTTCGATTAACAAAACAATGTTCAAACAACTCATCATCTTCTTTGTCTTTCTTATATTTTGTTCAACAATGATTCGATGTAATGATAAATCAATGTCGATGGATCATCGTGAAAAACGTTTTCTTTCAACATGTAATCTTCCGTGTTTCACCAATGGAAATCGATGTTTAAATGGTGGAATATGTACAAATCATAAATGTAATTGTTCAATTTTACCTTCATGTTCGGGATTACCTTGTGCAACTGTTGGAAACAAATGTTTCTTTGGTGGTGTTTGTACATTGTGTAAAGAAGGAAAAAGATGTCGAAAATAAATCTTTCGATTTCATTGAAAAAACAGAAATACATTGGTTTTTTTTCTTTCTCCAATAAATTTGCTTATTCTGTAACCAAAAAAACTAAATTCATGAATATGGAGCGCATAGGTAAATGATAAAATATTCAATTTTAGAATGAGTTGGTGACTTTACTTTAAAGATCTTAAAAAGTCATGTCCGACTGTTATCTATACAAAAACACAGATAACATTGAGAAAAAATCTGTGTATATAAGCATATTACTTTCTTTGGTTATAATATACAGAGACAAAATGAGTGGAAGCAATCACGGTCGGTTTTTAAGTAAAAGTGGTACTTCTCGCTCCCCTGAAAATTCATTGTCTGTAAGTGGAAAAACTCCTGAAATCAGCAACAAAACCTTATCCGCTATTCTTTCTGGTTTGAAACTTTCTGGTGAAAATGAAAATGGTGCAGCCTTAAATAAATATCGAACTACAGCATCACCATATGACATTGTCGTTCGAATAAATAAACTATTAGATTTACGAACTCATGGATGGGAAATTTTATTAGGTGAACATACAAAATCTATCAGACCGACGACGAAAGATACTGGTGAAAATAGTGCATCGGTAATAAATGAACAGAAAGAAGGTGTTGTTGTAAGTGTTCTAGGTGCGTACAACCGAGGAAAATCGTTTCTTCTAAATCAACTCTGCAATGTTTCTCTTCCAATCACCGCCGGACGTCAAAATTATACGAATATTGTGTTTTTGGATACGGCTGGAACGGACACACCAGTCAGAAATGATGAGATCGAATATAAAAGAGCGCGAGAAGCTCTTTTACGAGAAGTTGTTCTTCATCTCTCAACTTTTATCATCATTGTTGTCAATCGACTACGAACAACGGATCAAATTTACATCAACCAAATCTTAAAATACTATCGAAATTCGCCTCATAAGAAGACTATTATAATCGTTCACAATTTGTTGGATGTGGAAAAAATTCCCGATGTTGATAAGATCATTTCCGAAGAAATTCAATGGATTTTCGGTGCAGTTCAACAAAAAACGCAGCTATCCATCAACGGATGTGTGAAAGATATTATCTATTTTACTTCAAAACAATTCGGTGGAACTGATATTCGACATTACATTTTAGGAAGATCAGGTTCCGAAGCTGATAAACTATGGAATATGCAAACAATTGATGGTATCATGAATTTCCTTCAAAATACGGATAATAAACGTAATTTGGATCTTATTAATGATATGATTACTTTCATAAATCATAAATTATCAAAATTATTCGTTCAAAATTCAACTGAACAAACGCCAAATTTACAATTAGTACAACACAATTCGAAATAATCGACGAGATTATGAAGATCTTTCTCAAAGACCATATGAATTAAAATTATCTGAACAACTTATCTATGATGATGCCGGATATTTCATTCGTAATGAAAGTGAATATTGGCAACCGAGATATTTTAGTTCTTGAACTACCTGGATTTGAAAAAGGAGTTTTAAAGCCAAGAATATCAGGAAATTCGATTACATCAATGAATAATCCAATTATTCATCAATCAGATATTCCAACTGGATCATTTAAATTAAATATTTCATTTCAACAAGCAATTGAAGAAAGATTTACAGCAGAACGAAATGAAGGTTTTATTAATTTGATAATTTTAAAGAAAAGATCCACCGAGTACACAGAACCAGTATAAAATTCGATCGTCGAACCATAATCTTTACACAAGATTCATTATTCACAATTACTTTTTTTTGTCACAGAAAAGAAAACGTGTGTGTATCACTTTTGACAAATAAAATTTCAACTTTGTTGAACCAATGAGAGACAAATTATGTCACAACAGTGAACCGATATTAATGAAGAAGAGATCGGTGCTTCTACAGAGATATTCTTCACGATTTTTTTGTCATATTAATTGATATTGATCACTTGTTCTTTCATTCTCTTTACAAAAGTACATTATATTTATAAGAAGAGATTAAGTTTTAATGAACATGAATTGTAGAAAAGTTTATTGAAAGAAAGAAAATAGAGCAATGTGAATATTGTTGAATTCGACTTTCGAGTAAAACATGTAAAAAAGGCGATAAAAGTGGGATGCAACATTTGATTTTTTTTCAAAACTATAACCGATGTTTCATCCAACTTTCATCATCTCCTTTAACATGTGCAACTTTTCCTACAAGAAAAAAAAATGTAAAATCTATATTGATTTGTGTATTTCTCGATATGATATCCGACCATTTTATGTAAAATTGTCTTTTAAGTTGATTTTACAGAAAATGATCTGAGATTAATTAGAGAATTCCATTTTTAATTACTTCTCCAACATTCCACAAAACAAATGTAGAATTTGATCAATTATTGTTTAATGAAATGATCGATAAAACTTATCAACTTGGTTTTTTTTTCTGTTGAAAATTATCTTGTAAATTCTAAAAATGATCTCTCGTTTTTCTTTTCATTTCTAAAAAGCCGTTGGACAATTAATTAAATTTTCAGTATTTTCTACTTTCCGTATCTTTAAACAACGATTATTCTCTCACTTGTAAATTTATGAAGAAACTTTTATTAAACCTTCGAGATACTTTCACGAATCAATGTGAAACGAGTCTAATTTTCATGTCAAATCGGCTGAATTCAACTCGTTGTTTCGTGATTCTGTATTCTGTACTGATGTTTAATAAGTTCAATGAACAATTTGAATTTATTTTGATAAGATTTATTCATTAAGAGAGAAGATACAATAACAACGTTTTAAAAGTGAATTTTATGCAAATGGATTGTATTTCTTCACAAAAATCTGGTGTAGATATTCGATATCTGAGATTAATCTGCGATTTTTTTCGTTATTGACATCGTATTTCCTTGATTTGGAGAATTTTGGTGATCTCGGATGAAAATTAAATACAATAATAAAAGACATTTTGGATTTATTCACATTTAAACAGGAGAAAAAATCAGCAAAAGTAATATAAATTAACATCATGTTTAAAAAGTTCACGTTAACAATATCAAATATGTGAATCTTCAGGAGATTAACAAGATGAGATATGTGAGAAGATTTCATCGACTTCTCTTTTTCTCATAGAGAAGATTCATTCGCACTTTTTTATTGGTCGGTTAATTATTAAACAAAAAATTTTCAAATAAAAATTTCACTCGAAGGTCAAATCTTCGTTGATTGTCACACTTCAATATGTAAACATTTACTTAACATAGATATATTCGTATTTTTATATGAGAATGCGGAGATCTTGAAGTTTATCTTCGAACTGAAACAAATTATTCATCGATCTATGATTTTACTCACCTGTACTCTTTCTTATCTTATTCATGATATATTTTCTCAACTGATATTTTTCTTCCGACTAAAACCATTCAGTTGAATCTTCTTCATGATATATCGATACAATCGATCATCTCT